ATTTAACACACATGTACTTGTTTACAGCAACATAGTCTGTCCATTTAACACACATGTACTTGTTTACAGCAACATAGTCTGTCCATTTAACACACATGTACTTGATTACAGCAACATGGTCTGTCTATTCAATACACATGTACTTGATTACAGCAACATAGTCTGTCTATTTAATAGACATGTACTTGATTACATCAACATAATCTGTCTATTTAACACACATGTAATTGATTACAACAACAGTCTGCCCATTTAATACACATGTACTTGATTACAGCAACATAATCTGTCTATTTAACACACATGTACTTGATTACAGCAACATAATCTGTCTATTTAACACACATGTACTTGATTACAGCAACATAGTCTGTCCATTTAATACACATGTACTTGATTACAGCAACACAGTCAGTCTATTTTATACACATGTACTTGATTACAGCAACATAGTCTGTCTATTTAACACACATGTACTTGATTACAGCAACATAGTCTGTCCATTTAATACACATGTACTTGATTACAGCAACATAATCTGTCTATTTAACACACATGTACTTGATTACAGCAACATAATCTGTCTATTTAACACACATGTACTTGATTACAGCAACATAGTCTGTCCATTTAATACACATGTACTTGATTACAGCAACATAGTCTGTCCATTTAATACACATATACTTGATTACAACAACATAATCTGTCTATTTAACACACATGTACTTGATTACAGCAACATAGTCTGTCTATTTAACACACATGTACTTGATTACAGCAACATAGTCTGTCCATTTAATACACATGTACTTGATTACAGCAACATAATCTGTCTATTTAACACACATGTACTTGATTACAGCAACATAGTCTGTCTATTTAACACACATGTACTTGATTACAGCAACATAGTCTGTCCATTTAATACACATGTACTTGATTACAGCAACATAATCTGTCTATTTAACACACATGTACTTGATTACAGCAACATAGTCTGTCCATTTAATACACATGTACTTGATTACAGCAACATAATCTGTCTATTTAATACACATGTACTTGATTACAGCAACACAGTCAGTCTATTTAATACACATGTACTTGATTACAGCAACATAATCTGTCTATTTAACACACATGTACTTGATTACAGCAACATAGTCTGTCCATTTAATACACATGTACTTGATTACACCAACATAATCTGTCTATTTAACACACATGTACTTGATTACACCAACATAATCTGTCTATTTAACACACATGTACTTGATTACAGCAACATAGTCTGTCCATTTAATACACATGTACTTGATTACAGCAACAGGGTCTGTCCATTTAATACACATGTATTTGATTACAGCAAAATAGCCTGTCTATTTAACACACATGTACTTGATTACAGCAACATAGTTTGTCTATTTAATACACATTTACTTGTGTATTTATTAAACAGGTTTTCCACCAAGATATTGTGTATTTTTGTGTTTTTTTCTCATTCCTTCATTATATTGTACCCATGGACTGAATGTTAGATAGGGCTGTGTTCTTGTGTATTGGGCCTAATTTTGACCCATGTAAAATAAAGACTTTACTATTATAATTTTTCTTGTATCAATTTTTTAAAACTTTTTAATCCTGAGTTTTTTTCTCCAATATGTAAGGTTTTGTCACCTTATAGTGATGGCATATTAAAAAATCAAATTACCAAAAGCTAGCATATTTTCTATTAAGATACCTCATGAACATTTCAAACAAGATT